AGAGGCGGAACTAACGGGCGCGCTAAGAAGGGCCGCGGGCACGTCCAGCCCATCCGCTGCACCAACTGCGCCCGCTGCGTCCCCAAGGACAAGGCCATCAAGAAGTTCGTCATCCGGAACATCGTGGAGGCCGCCGCGGTCCGGGACATCTCCGAAGCCAGCGTCTTCGATTGTGAGCCCCTGGGGGGGCCGGGGGGGGTATCGTGGCGCTGGGGAGCGGGGCCAGCCCCAGCTGCAGCCCGTGTTACCAGGGACAGTCCAGGAGTTCGGGCACCAGCTGGAGACTTGGTTCCACTTCCTCAGTTTGCTTATCTGTACAATGGGGACAGTCGCAGCGCCCGTCTCCCAGCGGCGTGAGGGGATAAATACAGTCCAGGGGATGAGGTCCTTGCACACTGCAGGGGTGGAGGCCAGATGAATACCATAGGGAGTGGATGGAGAGGGGTTGTCCCTCTTAACTCAATCAAACATAACAGGGCAGTGAAGAGACGCCGGAACTTGTGTGACGCTGGCGTGTCTCCCGGCCCGGGGCTGAGCTGGCCGCGTGCTAGTGGAGCAGTTAAGCGCTCTGCAGATGAATGAGACTCTGCCTCTTGGCGAGGGCCCCCCGAGCACTTTGTTGCCCGTCTAGCTGGGTAAAGTGGTCTCAGCCTCGTTATGCTGGGGAGGAGGCGGAGACAGAGCTGAACTCATTTGCCAAAAGCTGCAAGAAGGTGGGCGGCGAAGCTGGGTGTAGAACCCAGGTGTCCTGGCTGCTTGCTCTAACCATTAGGCCCCTCTGCAGCAAAATGGTGCCTAGGGTTTCAGGTGGGGCTGCTGGTCCCCTGACAGGCGCCTGTTGGGTGGAAGTCCCAGACCAGGAGCCATCGGGAGGTCCAGCATTCCTGCCAAAAAGCAGTCGCAGGGAAGCAGCGGGAATGGGACCGGTTTGTGCTCCAGGACGCACCAGGGGGGGCAGCGTTACCTTGACTAAGGAGCTGAGCCCACGGTCATGCAGCGCTCCGGCAGGGCCTTGCTCTGAGCCTGGCTGCCCTGTGTGTAATCTCTGGCTCCACCGTCGGCTCTCCGGCATCCCAGCTCGCGGTTTGGCTCGCCTGGGGCTGGGGCGACACTAACCGATCCCTCTGGAGCTGGGATGGAACTGGGGACGCTGCGGCTTCTGGCTGCTGCTTTACGCCTCTCCCATCTCCCCAGCGTACGTGCTGCCCAAGCTGTATGTGAAGCTGCATTACTGCGTGAGCTGCGCCATCCACAGCAAGGTGGTGAGGAACCGTTCCCGGGAGGCCCGGAAGGACCGTACCCCTCCGCCCAGGTTCAGGCCCGCGGTACGTATTGTGCACAGATCCCTCCAGCCTGGCAGGCCAAGGGGGGGCGCTTCGGAGCTCATTGCGTCCCTCTGTTCCTCCCCCAATTCCCATCCCCCTGTGGCTCGGGGACTCCTGCCAACCCCCTGCAAACTCTTCTCTGCCAGAGATGGTAGCGCCTCCCACACCAGAGTCCCCCATTCACTCTCCGTGCCAGTGACTTGGTGTCCACCCCATTGCTCTGCAGGGCAATGATCAGAGCTGCCCGCCGAGGCATCCCAGCACAGAGCTAGCAAGCCGTGAGGTGCTGGAATTGACTCGCACCTGGGGCCGGTGACTCTCTGTGGAATAGTCTCTTCAGAGGAGAAGCCCCCTGTGCTTGGGACACTAGTGAACGTGTAGTGAGGGGGGCAGGGACCAAGGGGATTGGCCCATGTGGGTAATGGGGATAGGTCGTTATCACGTGTGACACGTCCTGCATGTCGGCCCACTGCTGGGTTCTTCCACCTTCCTGTGGAGCATTTGGTTTGGCCACCATCAGAGACGGGTGGTGAGGTAGATGGATCTCAGGTCCGCTCCAGCCTGACGGTTCCTCTTTCCCTGCCTGGAATCACAGCACTGAGCCGTCGGCTGAATGTGTCCTAACGTTCTCCCTTCTCTTCCCCTCTAGGGCGCTGCCCCGAGACCTCCCCCCAAGCCCATGTAAGGAGATGGGGCTGGAAATGTGCATCTTGAGACATTGCCTCAATAAATGACTTTACATCTGGTCTGTGGGTGCGAGTCTGTGTGTGGGGAGGGGGGAGACTGCACCGGGTCCTCGCACTCGCTGGGAGCTTGTGGGCGGACTGGAAACAAGCGGGTGAGGATTAGATGCCCTCTGGGGTGGCAGGGCGCCCTCTGCCGACTGCGGGGGGCAGGACTTTGGCTTTATGGACAGATCCCAGCTCACGGGATGGGGGGGGGGCTCTTGTTTGCCAGCAAAGCATCCCAATGACTGGCCGTGGCCTCCCGAACGGTGCTCAGGGGTCTCTGTGCTGGCAGGTGTTGACAGGACCCCACAGTGTAAAATGGAACCCTAGGCTGGAGTTTTTTGCATGGAAGGCTGAAGGTCTGTCGGTACCGGGGGGGGGGGGGGATATTTTGGACTGTGGGTGTTACCTGCTGTTGTGGCACAACTTTGGGGGGTGTCGGTGCAGCCAAGAGCTCCTTCAAATCCACATCATCCAACAATGCAGGAACAGGAGAACACGGACGCTGAACCTTTGAGTGAAGCCGGCGATCTCGGCCCTTAGCTGCTCACAGATCCAGTGCAGGGAGCGTCTCACTCCTCCCCGGGCTGTTCATGGGCAGCCAGCAGGGGGTGGGAGAGGCAGTTCCTGCAGCATGGCGCTGAGTGCCCTGTGGGGGGGCTCGCCCGTCTAGCCGGGATCACCCTTTGCTTCTCTGGGTGGCTCCGTTGTGGGCTTGGCAGGGCCCCGAAGTGGCGCTAGGTTACTGGCTGAGGTTGCACTGGTCGGGTTCAAGTGGCACAAAACAGCCCGGGCCAGCCCCCGTTGTGCAATTCTCTGCTCCCCCGGGCGGAAGGCTGAGAGGCCCTCCCTTAACTCTGTGCCCGCCTGGCAGCGGGGCCCTGGCTGGTGCCCTATTGCTCCTACCTGCCTGGCCTCTCGGCCCTACACAAGCCAGATCCAGGCTTCAGCCATGGGTGGAGCGTTGGGTGGCTGCAGAACTTGCTGGGATCCAGGTAGGACGGGAGCCTACACACACCTAGGCTCCAGGTCAGCCTTGTGTTGGGGGCCCCTTTGCACCAGGCCTGGGGGTGAAGATGTTGCTTATGCCCCCTGCTAGCGGGGGAATTCCCCTGGGGCAGGGGGGCCCAGGAAGGAACCGCAGGTTGGGGTGAGAAGATAATGACGTGAAATCCTAGTGAGCAGTGTCCTTGGCGCCAGTCCCAAGAGAGGAATTCCCGGAAATGGCCAGGGGGTGGCACCCCAGGGCAGGAACAGGTGTAGGCTTGGCCCTTCCCACGGAGGCTGATTACTTTAAGAGTGGGTGGGGGGCTCTGTTTCTGGCCAGTCCATCTCCAAGAGGCTCCGGCCTGGGAAAGGTCCAGCCAAGGAGAGCGACCCTGGAGGCCTGAAAAGGAGGAATAGGAAAAATTTGGGCCTCTTTAGTGCAGCCCTATGAGGAACCAGGAACAGAAAACAATAGCAGAGAAGGGCTGCAAGGGCGCCTTTGTTTACCCTCTTGTAACCTGACAACAAAGAGGGACAAAAGCTGACAAATGGTGACTATTTTTAACACACACTGTGTGATTGGCCTGTGGAACTCTCTGCCACAAGAACTCACCGGCCAAGAGTTCAGCTGGGGCCAAAGTCTCTGCCAATATGAGACTCCGTGATTACGAAAACAACAAGGAGTCTGGTGGCACCTTAAAGACTAACAGATTTATTTGGGCATAAGCTATCGTGGGTAAAAACCTCACTTCTTCAGATGCCTGAGTTTTTTACCCACGAAAGTTTATGCCCAAATAAATCTGTTAATTTTTAAGGTGCCACCAGACTCCTTGTTGTTTCTGTGATTACAGTAGGGTAAAAAATAACCTTGTTTGTCTCCAGTGTCCCTAATGTGCTTGGTGACACTGAAGATGGACCCTGCCCCCCAAGAGCACCCAGTGGGTGCTCCCAGCCGTCCCGTCCCCCCGGTGTCACAGCTGAGGCATGCTGGCAGGGGGCGGTGGGTTGCCAGAAGAACTCTGCCAGGCTGCTGCGGTGGTGGGCGGATCTGGGGCCGACGGTTATTGACAATTGCGGTGGGGCGGGCGCCCACCCGGCGTGCGTCTGCTCCCCTCCCGCCTCCATCTCTGAGCTCATTTCCTCCCGCTCCCCTCCCTGACTGCACCCATTGTTCCCCCGCCCACCCCATAACCCGAAGCATGCCCCCCTGGCCTGCCTGGCAGTGCCTTGCCATCCGTGGTGCCCAGGCCCCGGGAGGTTGTGCTGTGCCAGTGACCAGGGACGGGCGCGGAGCAGAGCCCAGGGGAGGCATGTGCCCACGGTGAGAACAAAGCACAGGTGGGAAGCCAGGAGGGGAGGAGACACGGGCAGGGGGAGAGGGGGGCATGGGCTAGCAGCCGGGGTTCTGAGTTCTAAGCCTGATGCTGCCCATGGCCCCCCTGGGTGTCTCCCTCCCATGCCAAAGGGGCATTCCCAGCTTGGGGGTTCATTTCCTCTCTCTGCCATGATGGGGCCAGGCCCTCAGAGGTGTTCAGGGGATTGTGATTCCCCGGAGGAGCTGAGAGAGACAAGGCGGGCGAGGGAACCTCTCTGCTTGGACCAGGGTCCCTGGGTGAGAGGAACAAGCGTTGGCATCCAGCACTTCTCCGGGGGGTGAGCGCCAGCACCGCCCCCAGCCTGTCTCTGCTCTCCTGAGCCTGGCCCGGGTGGGACTGGAGCTCCCACCGCAGCCGAGGCCCGCTTGACCCCAGGGTGCCGGGGCCCCAGCCAGAGCTCGGGGGTCTGGTCCAGGGGGCAGACGACGGGCCCCTGTCTGTCTGGGCTGGGGGCATTGCAAGCTCCCTGGGGCAGAGACCCAGTGGCCGGGCAGGGCCTGGCTTGGACTAACAGCGACCAGTGACTGGCCCAGGCCTGGCCTGGGGGCAGAGGGGGGCGCGCAGGGGGGTGGGGCCCCAGGGGCTCAGACCCGCCGCCCCAGCGTTGCCCCAAACCTCAGCTGGGCCGTCTCTGATTGGCTGCCCGCCCCAGCCAATGGGCGGCCGGCGCAGCTACTCCTTGAATGAAGTGTGTTGTCGTTGCGGAGTGACTCCGGGAGCGGCGGGTGGCCGGACCCGGATCAAAGCGGCGGGCGCCACGGGAGCGGGGCAGCCGAGGCGGATCCGCCAGCCGGGGGCCCGGCCCGGCCCCAGCGGGGAGCAGGTGGCGGCGGCTCGCAGCCCGGCCCGAGCATGTCCTAGCCCGCCCGGCACGATGCGGAGCCGCCAGCGCCCGGGACCTGTCCTCTGCCTCCTGCTCCTGCTCCTGCTCTGCCGCCCGCAGCTCGCCGCCGCCCAGGCGGGTAAGTAAAGGCACGAGCGAGCCCCGGCGGGCCCGATCCGGAGTCTGTCGAGCGCCCAGCAGCGTGTTAACTGGGGGGTTGCACCCTTGGGTGTCACTGGCTCTGCTGGGGGGTTGAGGAGCCTCTGAACCTGCCTCCCCGCTCGGGTTGTTTGCACCGGCTGGGGAGCGCAGGGCGGAGGCAGGTGGGGGGGGGGAGGCAGCTCCCCAGCCGGTGTGGACCCGCCTCAGAGGTTCGGGGGGGTCTGGAGTTCTCCCACTTGGTAAACTGAGGCTCCTTAACTCTCTGTCCTCAAGTGCTTTGCAGAGGTCAGGGGTGGAGGCTGCAGCCTAGTGGGTCAGGGAGCCTCCC